CATCTCCGTGAGGACCCCACCAGGAAGGGCCAGACCACCCTCCAGGTCCAGGGTCCACTCTGCGCAGGCTCAACCCAGTACGGTATCAGGCTGAGGCTCGGGAGCATTAAACTATTTCTAACAACTAGCTGGGAGATTTATAGTCCTAATTAAATCAAAGTCAAAATATTAATGAAAAAGAATGCAAAAATGATGAAATTAAAAATGAACCCCAAAACTGGGTGGTGGTGGCATGTGCCTTTAATCTCAGCAGGGGGAGAGGAGCTCACAGAGGCAGGCAGATCTCTGAACTCCAGGCTAGCCTGGTCTACAGAGTCCAAGTTCTAAGACAGCCAAGGCTAAACAGAGAAATCCTGTCTCAAAAACAAACACAAACAGCCCAGTCCTGATGCTGGGATTACACATACTCATTCCCTGCTTCAGAGACTGTATTACTTACCTACAATTGTACTGTATCTATCTGCTCCAGCTCTACAAAGCAGTGTTTTCAGAGGTGGGTGTGACACACCTGTCTGTCATTCCACCTCTTGAAGGCTAACGTAGAATCGCTGTGAGTTCACGGCCACCATGGGATACACAGTGAATAACCAAGCTAGCCAAGGCTGCAGAGTAAGACCCTGTCGCAGACAAACAGCCTCGGTGGGAGGGGGAAAGCTCACCTGTAGTTCTAGCACTTGGCAGATAGAGACAGAAGGATCAAAAGTGCATCCTTGGCTACACAGCACGTCTGAGGCCAATCTGGGCTATGTGACTTGTCAAAACCCACCAACCTAGGGCCGGGAATGGTGTGCACACATTTAATTCTAGCACTCGGGAAGCAGAGGAGGTGAATCTCTGTGAATTCAAGGCCAGACTGCTCCACATAGCAAGTTTCAGGCCAGCCAGGGCTACAAAGTGAGACCCGACATGTCTCAAAACATCAACAACGAAAGGGAAACCAACCCAACAAGAAAGCAGAACCCGCTTGGGGATTTAGTTCAGTGGTAGAGCACTTGCCTAGCAAGCACAAGGCCCTGGGTTCGGTCTTCAGCTCTGGAAAAAAAAAAAAAAGAAAGAAATTCTTCTTAAGACACTTTTGGGGCTGGAAAGATGGCTCAGTGGTTAAGGGCACTGGTTGCTCTCTCAAAGGACCCGGATTCAAATCCCAGCACCCACATGGCAGCTAACAACTGTCTGTAACTCAAAGATCTGACCTGCAGGCAAAACACCAATGCACATAAAAGTAAATAAAAGTTAAAAAACAAAACAAAACAAAACACAGAACCCCAGACAAATGACAGGAGCGGCACCAGGGTGGACAGGGCTTGGGTCTAACAGCTGGGATCTAGCAAAGACAGGCCGGGAGATGGCTCCTCACAGAAGGTAGGAGAAGAAAGTGAGCTGTGGAGAGGCAGAAGAAGCTAGCAGCTTCACTGAGACCAGCTTGCCCCCTCCTCAGGCAGAGGCCAAGAAGCACCTCCTAGGTCCCCTGTGGAAAGGACACGGGGCACCCTAGTGGCTATAGTCAGCCTAGGAAAGGAAGGGAACACAGTAAGTTCAGGATGAGTCTCCTCTGTCATACTGGGGTAGAATTGGGGTGACAAGGCATTCTCAGCCCACTGTTTGCTGTCACCAGAGATTTAAAAACATCTACGTGTTCCTTCAGTCATTAAGCCAAGACCCAGGCACTCAGAAGAGAGCCATGGTCACCAGTCAGCAAGCCCTCCTACAGGAAGAAGCTGACTCTGAAGAGCATAGAAGGCCAGAGAAGAGGGGCGAGACCTTCCAAGTCAAGATAAAAGGACACCCCACAACAGAGAGCTCACCACTGCACATTACCTGAGGTCCAGCAGAACATACTAACTAGCAGCCATGGAGGGATCATCTTATACAGACAACTCTTGCTATACAGATTCTTCCCACCTACCCACAGCCCCAGCTGCCCTTCCTCCAGCCGGAAGAGGTTTGTGCGGTCACCCACTCAAATCTGAGCAAACCAATGACCTCTCCCTGATTCACCCTGCCAGCTACTGAGGGTGCAAACGGCACAGCTCCCTCCCACCTGTGGAGACAGGTCTAGGAATACTGGTTAGATGGTACAAAGGAAACTTCTCGGCCTGACATGTAGAGACCGGGAACACTGATCAGCTAAGCGCTCTGTGCCTCTGTGGTTCTACTCTATGTCTATCATGAAATGGGCAGTCATGACAAAGAATTGCCCATTTCCCACAAGACACTCAGCGTGACAGCTGTTACGTGTTTCGTGTGAACTTGTCACACGTGCCCATGGCTAGATGATCCACGTGAAAGGCTGGTGGTGACAAGCAGCCCACCATGCTTGCTGCTACGGCTGCTGTCTCGCTTCCCACCATATTCCCAGACACTTTCCGTGAGTTTCAGGGTGTTGGGGGCGGGGATCTTTGAGGCGTCACACACTGCAACCCATTATGAAGAACTGAGTACACAGATCACTATGGAGCTAGCCATAGATTGCTCTTGGCAATCCTCCTGCCTCAGCCTCCCAAATGCTCAGATTACAGGCAGCTGCCACCAGTCCTAGTTTAATGTCAAGATTTTTAACAAACATTTAAAAATCAACATTTAAAAAGAAATTACTGATGGGGCTGGAGAGATGGCTCAGAGGTTAAGAACACTGACTGCTCTTCCAGAGGTCCTGAGTCAATTCTCAGAAACCACGCAGTGGCTTACAACCATCCCTAATGAGATCTGGTGCCCTCTTCTGGTGTGCAGGGATACATGCAGACAGAACACTGTATACATAATAAATAAATAAATCTTAAAAAAAAAAAAATCTGATGGGTAAAGAAATCATGAAGGGGATCCAGAGGTTCTGACGCCCTCTTCTGGCTACCATGGGTACCTGAACTCACAGGCACATACCTACATTCATATACACATAAATACATAACTAAAATAAATAAATAAATCTTAAAAGAAGAAGAAGAAGAAGAAGAAGAAGAAGAAGAAGAAGAAGAAGAAGAAGAAGAAGAAGAAGAAGAAGAAGAAGTAGTAGTAGCCACACGGTGGTGGCTCATGCCTTTAATCCCAGCACTTGGGAGGCAGAGGCAGGTGGATCTCTGTGAGTTCAAAACCAGCCTGGTCTACAGAGCGAGTTCCAGGACAGGCTCTAAAGCTACACAGAGAAACCTTGTCTCCAGAAAAGAGAGAGAGAGAGAGAGAGAGAGAGAGAGAGAGAGAGAGAGAGAGAGA